AAGTCATGTTGGGATCCCCGGCAATGAGAGAACCGATCAAAAGGCCAAGCAGGGAGCCGAGTCGTCTCAACCGGAAATCCCCTTGACTTTCAGAAGTGCAAAAAGCCACATTTCCACATTCATTGACAAATATACTACCGCGACTCCAAAAAAAAACAACAAAAAAACCCAAGAGCTTTGGAAAGCTTTGGGAAACTCTGGCCACTGTGGGTCCAACCCCGAGGCACCTGGAGAGAAACGAGGCTGTTGCTCGCTTTCGCCTAACCATCGGACATGACCTTTTGGGAGTATACCTCCACTGGGTTGGCCTGGCTGCTGACGAGGCATGCCCACTCTACGGCCATACCAGAATGGATGGCGACCACCTTCTCCAATGCACTGGACTCTATGAATACCCGACTGACGACATTGTTAGTCAGTACTGGGAGGCTCGGCGTTAAATGGTCAAGTAGCCAAGCATGGGCGTTTGATAAATAAAATAAAATACGTGGGCATGCAAATAAAAAAAAAATTATGTTTTCTGATTTTTTAGGGCTGGAACCAATTCTCTTTTCCTAATAAAGTAATATTTATTTCTACACGTATTTTTCAGCAACGCATCTATCACGTAAAAAAAAGAATTAGGCATATTTAGTTATATTTTTAGCTAAACAAATGGAAAAAGATTAACGTATTTCTAGAAGAAAACTGATCTTAACTCTAAATCTTACAAGAAAAAAAAACTATTAGCCTGAAGCCTAGAATAGAAAGTATTTTACTTAATACAAAAACAATAACTATACAATAACATGAGAAAATTTAGAATTTCAACTATAAACGAAGAAAAAAAATAATAATTACGCAAAAGTAAATGAAACTTCAAATAAAATTACTTTCACAATACAAGATAAAGAAAAATGATATAATATTTTATTAAAATTTTTTTATTTTTAAATAAAAACTAATAAAGAAAGAGCTTTACAAATTAAATCAACATTAATAATATTTTCAAACAAATAATTTTATGTAAAAAAATTAATTTTGTTAGAAATAATGTATTTTCCAATAAAAACAAAATAAAGCAGTAATATAAAAGAATGGTGAAAGAGAGCACACCCACCCTCTACACAAATGCAAGTGGACATTGATGACCAGGAAGAACACCAATCTGGCAGGAATTATCTTCACATAATGGAGTTGGGCAAACAACTGAAAAAAAAATTTTTTTAGTCTTAAAAATCTTTTTTAAAAGTTTATGAACAATGAGTCTTAATATTTTACGTATACTGCACAGTTATTAAAACTTAGATACTATGGATTTGTACACATTTTATTTGCTTGTATACACAAAAAAATATTTTTCCGTTTCTACCCGTTGAATTTTGAGCAAATGTACAATATTTTTGTAATATTTTTTAATCCGTATAACTGGCAAAACATTTTGTGTGATAACATAACGATTTGTTATTTACACAGAGTACAACTGATTACAGACACGTATTTTACAAATTTTAATAGTTGAAAAGATTCATTAACCCTTTATAGGGCCATTTTTCTAGTGGCGTTATGTTAAAAAATTTTGGGATTTAGGTTGATAACTTATCACCTAAAATTAATTTGATTTTTTAAGAACATTTTTTAGTGGGAAGTATGTTCCTAACCGCCTACAGAGAACTATTCAAAGGTAAAAGCATCTCCATATGTTCTGCATTTCTTTTTGTACATCGCATTACATGATATTTATAAACATAGTTTGTAAATACTAAAATCTACAAATGAAAATAAAAATAAGATATTTTGTAATCAAAAATTTAAGAATTTATACGGCGGTAATCGATTTGTCACTGACCTTGTACGCCCAAGGTTGCGGGTTCGACCCCGGCTCAAGTCAGTGGATTTTCATAATATAGAAAATCTACAGAGGCCATGTCGTAAGATTATGCAGCATGTAAAAGATCCCTGGATTTCTTGTTTGACTTGGGTGCTCTCGGCAAAATTAAAATCCTAAATACGGTTTCGCATTGACATAGCTCAGGTGCCTCCCTCTGGGGCGGAACTTAAGATTCAAAATTACCTGTGGTGATTGGTATCCCCCTGTATGGTGCCGCACTAAAAAGAGATACCAACTCCCTGGGAATGCACTAGGTCTGCAATGGTAAAACACCAACCCACGCAGCCCCATTAGAAATAAAAACTTTTTACGAAATTTCAGTAAGGGGGTGGGACCAACATATAGTGGGACATTGCAAACTCTACAAACTATCTTGTTCTTTTTTCATGTGTTATAGTAAAGCAAAAACGGTAACTTGTTTTTTTTTGTTGTTGTTGTTGTAAAATTGGCATATGCTTACCAACTTAAGTCAATAGTAAATCATCTGGAACAGTTTTCTTGCTGCTCAGGAAACTTATATGTCGTCCTTTGCATTTATGACTTGATACTCATGAAATTAGTTGTAGTGTTAGTTGAAGTGCAAGCCAAGCAGTACACATCATAAGTGGAATCAGGGACGTCTTAAGACTTTTGAGGCCCTGGACCCCTGTGCAAAAGTACGCACTACCTGAGATTTGTAAAAGTAAAACAGTATCTAGCAGGATGGGTGGAATTTTCCAGGGTACGGGCTATAATTCTAATGTTTTTAAGGTGTTGTAGTCCACCCAGTGGCTTAGGTGTGGCCGTTCTGTATTAAAATTGTATGTATTCTTTTCTTAACACTTATTTTCGACATTATACTTCTTTTAAAATATCCCAGAATACTATTTTTACTATAAAACCACAAGTGACAAGTTAAATGTTGAACAACTATGAGCCACTGTTAGACATAGGAGCGTGGACGTTTTTAATGCGGAGAGCAAACAGACTTGAACCGATGAGTCAAACCGATTGCGAACCCTTACATTTGTTCGTTGCTGAGTCATACACCATCGTGGGACATGGCATCAACACGAGAAACCTACCTCGTGAAACGCCGGGGTGTGGGATGATGTCTCATAGCCAATCCCGTTCTATCGCGGGAAGAGGGATCCTCAACATTTATTCTTCCCTTTAGTTAGGGTGCGCGTAAAAAATTCATTTCTACGGTGAATTCATTGCAGTGATATTTTTTTTTAAATCTCTACACAACTTCGTTCACTTTCATTGAAGGCACATGTGTCGTATGCAGATTTATTGAATCATTTGCTTAAGTAAACACAGTCGCTTTGATTGGCAAAAGCCAATTCTACAGCCTAGTGGTGGCATCAGTGTTCCATAAATGTTTCTTTCATTATGCGCGTTTAAGGTCTTAGTAAAGGCGGTCACTCCCAAATGCCTTGGTAGTTCACACGTCGATCGCGATCGACTTAATGCCCATCTCTGGTATATAGCATGCATTGCCATACCACTCGTTTGAATGGTAATTTGAAACAAGCAAATGTGCACGATTCACAATCTAACAAACCCAACCCAAATCAACACGACCGATGGCAGCATTTTGATTAAATGAGTTGAACCATTGTGTATGGTACTAGGCCTAAGCTTGACATGGACAACGGTCATCCCATAATAATACAGTCTTACCAGTTGGCATGCAGTTTGAAAATCCCTGTTTTTCGGAGAATATGTATGAGAATAATATTTGACCATTAAAATTACTCATCGTTATCTTAAGGTAGTGACGAGAACGAAACTAGGTCTCCCGAGGGCGAGGCACTGGGGCTGGGCCATGCCTTAAGACGTCTCTAGGTGGAATATAGTTTCTCATCGACATTTAAAAATAATTAAGTGGTGGAAAATACATTTACCCTTGAATATGAAGGGTTAAATTGTTTATATATAGGGGTTGAATTGCTTAGAATAATAGAATATTTGAGAAATCTGGAACTTTTGCTTCAGAGAAAGCTTAAAAATATGAGATATTTTCAAAGTTGAATTGAGTGTAGTTAATAAATACTATTTACCGATGTAAGAAAATGCCATGAAAGTTTTATAGAGACCAATTATATCTTAAAATTCTAAGAATGCAATCAAGTTAAATGAACCTGCTTTACACACATACGCTATTCATCTTTTTAACAGCTAAAATCTAACTACTTTAATCTAAAAACTTTATTTGAAAACAAAAGCATTTTTTTTCCACACAAACAGTTTTAAAAAAGCTTAAAAAGTATAAGAAATTACACACGTTCTTCAGATGTAAGTTCTCTCTTTCTGTATTATCACTCTCGAGTTATCAGCTAAGAGACAATCGTAATCTGGGCAGCATTTATCAGCCACATAAAATGCATCACAGTTTTCAACATTTGGTGGAGGACGACAAGACTGATGAATGCAGGTGAAATCTGGGGTACTTGACAAGTGCATTTAACGCATGGATTGTCCATTGAAATTTCTGCCCGATTTCATAATTGCTTTCTCCAAAAATACAAAAATCACCTATAAAAAGAAATTGCTCAGTTTCGTTTCCTTATGCATGTTAATCACAAGGAAAATAGGGAAAAAAATCCTTTTATCCATTAAAATTACTAAGGGAAATCGTTATTTAGTTATTTTACATAAATCACTACACTTTTAAAAGATATTTCTGATATAAAAATTCAAAACTACACCTAAATATTGAAGTTTGACTACTAATAAACACAATTTTTCCAATTCCTACTATTATAGTTCACACTCTCCCTACATATATATATGGTTGGCTAGCCACAAAACTTTGTTTAAGCCTATAATTCTGTTTCTAATGACAGGAGTTTGCTATAGTACTACTGTGGCTAGTACTTTCACTAATTGACTAGTTATCTTAGGTTTATAACTATTTTGTGTATATTATGAATTATATATATGTATCTTGTTCAAATCTTCAATCCTTAATAAAATACTTTTTATTCATCCACTCAAGTTAAAACTAATTTTTTAAACTTGTAGTGGATGATGTTAATACAGTTTTTTTCAAATATTCTTATCAGTTTAATTAAGTTAATGAATAAATAGTAACAAGCAAAGATAATAGCCCACACCATATATAAAAAGGAAACTCGCTAGTTGCGTTCCTGTAGCACAATGGATAGTGCATTGGACTTTTAATCCAAAGGTCGTAGGTTTAACCCTACCTGGGATGGCCTAATTTCTGAGAATGATTTATGTATGAATAAATAGTAACAAACGAAAATAATAGTCCAACACCATATATAGAAGGAAAATGGAAAATAGTTTTCTATTTTGCCCTTTAATATTGTGATTTTGTCATATGTATACACATACTTATATTAATTGTGATTATTTAATTAAAAGTTACTAAAAAACTCTCTTTGTTGAACGAAGTAGGAACCGACTTAATTTTTTTTATCAAATCATTTAACATTTTTTAAAATAGAATACAATTAGGATATCATTATTTGTAATAAATCTGTATTTGTGTAATAAACGTAACGCAAAAGCACAAAGAAGAATTTTAAATAATAATATAAGGAACGGCAAATCGAGTATTTCCAGTAGAAGAAACAATTGTACAGAAATAATTATTCCTTATTTATAAAATTATCTTATAATTAAAATGTAAAAGGGGGGGGGCAACTTACCTTTATCTATTGACTCAGATTCAATTTGTATATCTTCTGGTTTTGCATTAAGTCCAAAATCTTGAGCTAAAATTACACAAACGTAATAAAAATAATTATATTTTGATTTAAGAATGATTTTTTTTGTGCAGTTTTTAAATCAATTAAATAAAAGAAAACTGTTGATAAATTTGGTTAAATTAGTAATTAACTCAAACAAGTTAATTAACAAAGTATTATTAATATATATTATTGCAACTTATTAAGGCTATCTTTATTTTATATGCATATATAGGATCTAAACTGAAATAATAAGACAAAAAATAACTAAAAAAAATTATTTTTAAAATAATTTTTGTTTGAAATTTTTCCTGCAAAAATTGTACCATATTTTTTTTAACATTTAAATTTATAACTAGAATAATTGAAAGATAACTATAGTAGTTAAATATACTTTTATTTAGATATAGTTAAATATATTTTAGCCAAAGAATATATTTATAAACGCCAAAATTATAGATATTTAAATTTTAAGGACACAGTATGATAAAATGTAAATATGTACTGCAACCACATGAATTTGTATTAATATTGGAATTTTTTCCACCAAAAGAAGTGCCAAATCATGACTTGTATCGCCCATAACCTTAGCAATATATAGCAATCAGAAGCGTAGCTACCACCGTATCAATGATACGGGCCCCAACATATGCAATATTTTGACACTTTCCCAAATAAGTTTTATTAATGCAATCATTTTTATTTCCTTAAGAAGAGCCCCCAAGGAATTTTGATAGAGGGTCCACTAGGACTAGCTACGCCAGGGATAGCAATGCTAATTAAAAACCGAGCAACAAGTTTTCACCTACGGCATGAAAGCAACTACATATAACAGCATCCATTATTCCGCATGATCTTCAGGAGAATAAAAATTTCATTTGACGATCCATCAGTTCGTTCTGGTTTATAAGTCGTCTCATGAACCAAACTATCATATCCTCATAGTATAGCTCAAAAGTTTAGATTTAAAATAAATTTCAAACTATTACTTAAAAATGTACCACATGCGAGTGTTTATATAAAATAAAGTCCCCTCAAAACATTTTAACAAACTCTTTTTAGA